GGACAGACTGGGAGGGGATTGGGAACTGATCACCCGGCCCTCCGAGTTGTGCTCGGGGGCTCCTGGGGGGGTAAAACAGGGGTTGGCGGGGCTGAGGGGCACTGGGAGGGGACTGGGACAGACTGGGAGGGACGGGGAGAGACTGGAAGGGGATTGGGAGGGACTGGGAGGGGATTTATCTGCATTTTGAGCCAGTTTATCCCCATTTTGGTGGTATTTTGGGGCAGTTTTTGGATATCTGGGGTTATTTTAGTATATACTGGGGCAGTTTTGGGGTCTCACCTATGCCATAGGTGACCTTGAGGGGCTCAGTCTTGGTCAGCAGCCCCACCCCGCTGTATCCGGGTTTCCCCTCGGCGCTGGCCCAGAACTGGTGGGGCAGCCCCGGCAGCCCCCGGACCTCGGGGGGCACGGAGGGACCCGCACATTTCGTCTCCTGCAGGCACAGAACGTCCGGGGCCTCCTCCTGCACCCACTGTGGGGAGAGAGAGCCCCGGGGTGAGGGCGGAGACCCCAAAAAACGGGTCCAGGACCCCAAAAAACGGGTCCAGAACCCCAAAACACAGGGCCAGGACCCCAAAACACGGGTCCAGGACCCCAAAAAATGGGTCTGGGACCCCCCCATAGACCCACGGGTGACCCCCCAGACACCTTCCAGTCCCTCCCAGTCCCTCCCACTCCCCTCCCAGGCCCACCCCATCCTTCCCAAACCTCTCCCAGTCCCTCCCAGTGCCCCCAGTCCCACCTGGCCCCCCCCTTTCTTGACCCTCAGTCCCTCCCAGTGCCCCCAGTCCCACCTGGGCCCCCCCTTTCTTGACCCTCAGTCCCTCCCAGTGCCCCCAGTCCCACCTGGGCCCCCCCTTTCTGGACCCTCAGTCCCTCCCAGTGCCCCCGGTCCCACCTGGGCCCCCCCTTTCTTGACCCAGGCTCTCAGCCCGTCGACGTTCCACGAGGTCACCTTGAGGGTCCAGCGCCGCCCCCCCGGGGGTCTCCTCCCGGAGCGGGGGGTCCTCGTACTGGGGGGCGGGGGAAGCCTTGGGCACCTTGGGGGGCACTGGGGGGGAAACGGGGGGTCAGTGGGGGGCACTGGGACAGGCTGGGCGGCTCCTGCTGGGTTGTACTGGGTTATAGTGGGTTGTACTGGGTTGTACTGGGTTGTACTGGGTTATAGTGGGTTGTACTGGTTATAGTGGGTTGTACTGGGTTGTACTGGGTTATACAGGGTTATAGTAGGCTATACTGGGTTATGTTTGGTTATACTGGGATATACTGGGTTACACTTGACCATACTGTGTTAGACAGGGTTGTACTGGGTTGCACTGGGTTATACTGGGCCATACTGGGTTGCACTGTGTTGCACCGGGTTATACTGGGCCATACTGGGTTATACAAGGTTATACTGGGACATACTGGGTTATACTGCATTACACCGAGTTATACTGGGACGAGCTGTGTTGCACTGGGTTATACTGGGCCATACTGGGTTATACTGGTTTATACTGGTCCGTGCTGGTCACTCACCCCCCTCTCCGTCCTTCGCCGCCTCCTCCTTCTTCCCGCGCTTCGGCATCACCGAGACCACGCCCCTTTCCGGCTTAGGCCGCGCCCCCCTGCACTAGAGAGCCAATCAAAGCGCGCTTAGGGCCTCAGGCCCGCCCCCCGCCGTCCTCAGCAGCCAATCAGCGTCCGCCGCCGACACGTGGGCCCGAACCGGAGCCAATCAGAGCCCGAGGGGGCCCGAACCGGAGCCAATCAGCGCCCGCGGGGCCCGAACCGGGGTTAATCAGCGCCCGCCGCTCTCCCGGTTAAACCCGCCCCCCCACCCACGCCGCCTGTCAATCAACCCCCTCCCCCAGCCAATCAGCGCCCGTCGTACCTCATTTCCCCCCCTCACTTACCGTTTAACCAATCAGCGCCCGCCGCTCTCCCGGTTAGGCCCGCCTTCCGCTCTCACAACCAATCAGCGCCCGCCGTACCTCAGCGCCCCCCCCTCCTGTCCTCTCAGCCAATCGGCGGCCGCCGCGAGCGGCGCGAGCGCTTCCCGCGCGCGGGAACTACTCAATGGAACCGGTGGGCAGCGCGTGGGGCAGGGGGCGTGGCCGGAAGCGGAAACTGGCGGTGTCACGTGACACGGGGAGGCGGAGCAGCCGTGAGGGGAGGGCGGAAGTGACGTCACGGCGCGGGAGCGAAGAGCGGCGGGAGGAAGACCCGGGAGCTCCGTGACGTCATTTTTCCCCCCCGGGGGGCCGTGTGACGTCATGCCGACCGTACTGGGCCTGGAGGGCTCCGCCAACAAGGTGGGCGCGGGGGTCGTGCGGGACGGCGCCGTCCTGAGCAACCGCCGCGCCACCTACGTCACCCCGCCGGGACACGGTGACGTCACGATCCCCGTCCCTTCCCCCCTTGCGTGACGCGAGCGGGCCCCCCCCCGTGTGACGTCACGTCGTGTCCCCCTTTCCCCCCCCTCAGGGTTCGCCCCCGGGCCCACCGGGCGGCACCACCGCGAGCGGCTCCTCGGCCTGGTCGGGGCCGCGCTCCGGGACGCGGGAGTGGGGCCGGCCGAGCTCGATGGGGTGGCCTTCACCAAAGGTGGGTGAGAGGGACCCAAAAAAACCCCAAAACCCCCTAAAACACCCCCGGGAGAGGGACGGGGGGGCCTTCACCAAAGGTGGGTGAGAGGGACCCAAAACCCCCCTAAAACACCCCGAAAACACCCCCGGGAGAGGGACGGGGGGCCTTCACCAAAGGTGGGTGAGAGGGACCCTAAAACACCCTAAAAACACCCCCGGGAGAGGGACGGGGTGGCCTTCACCAAAGGTGGGTGAGAGGGACCCAAAAACCCCTAAAACACCCCAAAAACAGCCCTGAAAAAAACCCCTTGGCCATGGTGGCCACGGTGGCCCGCACGCTGGCCCAGCTGCAGTTGGGGGGGTCCCAGGGTGATTTTGGGGTCATTAACCCCATTTTTGGTGTCACTAACCCCGTTTTTCAGGCAGGCCTGGGCATGGGTGCCCCACTGGCCTTGGTGGCCACGGTGGCCCGCATGCTGGCCCAGCTGTGGCTGGGGAGTGGCTGGGGGGTCCCAGGGTGATTTTGGGGTCATTAACCCCGTTTTTGGTGTCACTAACCCCGTTTTCGGGGTCACTAACCCCATTTTCGGGCAGGCCCAGGCATGGGTGCCCCGCTGGCCGTGGTGGCCACGGTGGCCCGCACGCTGGCCCAGCTGTGGGCGCTGCCCCTGCTCGCCGTCAACCACTGCGTGGGGCACATCGAGATGGGGCGGCTGCTCGGGGCCGCCCCCGACCCCGCCGTGCTCTACGTCAGCGGCGGCAACACCCAGGTGGGGGTTCGGGGCGATTTCCGGTGATTTCGGGTAATTTCGGGTGACTTTGGGTGATTTTGGGTGATTTCGGGTGGTGTCGGGTTGATCCTGGGCGGTTTTGGGGTGATACCGGGTGACACTGGGGGATACTGGGGCCGTTTCAGGTGATATCAGGTGATTTCAGGTGATGTCAGGTTGATCCCAGGTGGTTTTGGGGTGATTTTGGGTGATTTCAGGTGACCCCGGGAGGACATTGGGGTGATCTCAGGTGATTTTGGGCTGATCCCAGGTGATTTTGGGGTGATTCTGGTTGATATGAGGTTGATCCAGGTGGTTTTGGGGTGGTTTGGGCATAATTTTTGGTGATACCAGATGATAAGAGATTGATATCAATTGACTGGGGGCAATTAGTGAGATTTTTGGGTAATTAATTAGGTTTTGGGGGAAACTAATGAGGCTTTGGGGCAATTAATGAGGTTTTGGGGGTAATCAATGAGTTTTTTGCAGCAATTAGTGAGGCTTTGGGGGGCAATTAATGAGGTTTTAGGGGTAATTAATGAGGTTTTTGGGGCAATATGCTGAGCTTTGTGGGTAATGAATGAGATTTTGGGGGCAATTAACAAGGTTTTTGGGGTAACTAATAAGGTTTTTGGGGTAACTAACGAGGTTTTTGGGGTAACTAACAAGGTTTTGGGGTAACTACTGAGGTTTTGGGTTAACTACTGAGGTTTTGGGGTAACTAACGAGGTTTTTGGGGTAACTAACGAGGTTTTTGGGGTAACTACTGAGGTTTTGGGGTGACTAACGAGGTTTTTGGGTCATTAATTCCCCCCAGGTGATCTCGTACTCGCGGCGCCGGTACCGGATCCTGGGGGAGACCCTGGACGTGGCTGTGGGAAACTGCATCGACCGCCTGGCCCGGCTGCTGCAGGTCACTCATTAGCGCTAATTAGCACTGATTAGGGGGCTGGGGGCTGACAGGGGGGTTTTGGGGTGATTAACGGGGGTTAATTGGGGTGTGGGGGGTTCATTGGGGGTAGTTAAGGGGGGTTAATTGGGGTTTGGGGGGTTAATTGGGGTCTGGGGGTTATCTGGGGGTAATTAAGGGTTGTTAATTAGGGTCTGGGGGGTCTCTCCACAGATCCCCAATGACCCCAGCCCCGGGTACAACGTGGAGCAGTTGGCCAAGAGGTGACCCCGAAATTGCCCAGATCGACCCCAAAACCCACCCTGGGACCCCCCAAACCCCTCTGGGACCCCCCAAACCCCTCTGGGACCCCCCAAACTCCCCTTTGGGACCCCCCAAACCCCTCTGGGACCCCCAAACTCCCCTCTGGGACCCCCCAACCCCTCCTGGGACCCCCCAAACCCCCTCAGACCACCCCAAACCCCCCCTGTCCCCCCAGGGGCCGCCGGCTGGTCCCGCTGCCCTACGTGGTGAAGGGTCTCGACGTGTCCTTCTCGGGGCTCCTTTCCCACCTCCAGGTACCCCCAAACCACCCCCTGAGACCCCAAAACCCCCCCAAACCCGGGGGACCCAGAAAACACCCCCCTGACCCCCCGTGTGCCCCCCC